CCCTGGGCAGGGACACCTCCCACCACACCACGTTGCTCCAAGCCCCCTCCAACCTGCCCTTGAACCCCTCCAGGGATGGGGCAGCCACAGCTTCTCTGCCCAACCTGGGCCAGGCTCTCACCACCCTCACACCAAACAAGTTCTTCCCCACATCTCAGCTCCATCTCCCCTCTTGCAGGGTCAAACCCTTCCCCCTCCTCCTAGGGCTCCCCTCCCTCATCCAGAGTCCCCCCCCAGCTTTCCTGGAGTCCCTTGAGGGACTGGTATTGTCCACAAGCCCCTCTCCACGGGCAGGGGGGTCTCTGAACCCCTAGAGAACGCTGCTGAAGCCAATTGGGTCCCCAGGACCCCCCCAGCCCATGAAGTGCTTCCACAGCCCCGTTTTCTGGCAATTCCATCCAGACCCCTCCACAGGTACCCTCAGACACAGGTACCCACAGGTCCCCTCAGACACGGCTTCGGCTCGTGCCTTTGATCCAGCGACGGGGAGAAGAGAACACTGAAGTGTAACATCTGAGACGTTCATCTCAAATTTAATTTTAGGGACCTCTTCTGCCTTCCACGCGTGCAGCCAGGCATTAGCATGCACCAGAGGCACCGCGTCCCCTTTAATGTTTACTCATCCTTAGATTGCAAAAATTGTTGTGTGAATTCCTCCTTCAATTAGCTCTGGTACTCGAAAAAAAATATTGTTCCATCGCCAGTATGGTTATGATCATTTCTTTCCTTTGTACTTTTATTCCCTAGTGTAACTTAAAAAGCAAATGCTTCCCCGTTCTCCCCTGCAAAGCCCCCTTTAAATTTATTTTTTTTTTTTTAAAAAACAAAAACAACCAGCGTTTCTGAAGGAAAGGCTTTTGTGGCTGAAGTGCCACTTCCCTTCACCTCTCCATCACGTACGGGAAGAAAATAAAGATCAGAAGGAGGATTTAGACAAAAAGCCAACTAAGTAAAGCTAATTTTTTCTACAGAAGGATCCCGCTAGTTGTGTAGAGGAGCTTTGTTGAGCGGAACAGAAGAGACATCAGAGGAGACTCTGCAGAGGGTTTTCGAGTATTTCCAGCCCCCTTCCCGAGGCACAGCCCGTATCCCACCAAAAACACGGGGAGGGGGTGTCAGAGCAGCTCCCCCACCCACAGAGCACCACGGGAGTAAACCCACCATCTCGTCTGCAGCACCTGGGGAGGAAAACTCCCCCCGATGCCCCATGCGAAGACCCTGACCCTGGAAATGAGCAAAACGGGGAGCGCAGCTAAAAACAGGGGTGGAAATTCCACTTCCCGGAGAGATGGTCACCCCCAATGTCCCCAGAGCCACTTGGCATGAGCCATCAACTGAAAAAGATGTTTGCCATCTCTTGCCACGACCACACTCATCTGCCCCACACTGAGGGCTGCCTCTCGCTGCTCAGCCCCACGGTGGCCAGTCCCAGCCCCACGGTGGCTTCCAGCCCTGGTGGCCAGTCCCAGCCCCACCAGCAAGGACAGTCCTCACCTCTCCTTGTTTCACCAAGGTAACAGGGTGACCTGTGTGAGGCCAGATGAACAGCAAGAAGCAGAACACAACGCTTTAACCCACGTCCCTGCCCTTCTGCAGAAGGGGACCGAGAGCCCAGGACATCGTGGTGACACCAGTGACAGAGGGAGTGTTGGGAGGTCCCTGACCCAGGGGATGGAGATCTGCCCACGCAGAAAATGCCACCTATTACAGACAGATTCTCTGTGGTACTAGAGGGATCTACCTCCTCAACAAAGAACTCAGATCCACCAATGAAACACCCTCCACCCATGGTGAAATGCTGTTTCTCTCTTTTTACCTCCCTGGGGTAAGTCCTTACTGGAGTAAGGAGGGACTTGGACCATCTCCTCTTCCATACAGCAACCAGAAAACTCACACACCGACTGTTGTCCACCCACAGGCACCCCAAAAAAACCCCAGGAACCCTCATTAAACCCCAGATCTGGCTACAGAGAGCCAGAGAAGTGCTTTTCCACGCCAGCAGAAGGGGTGGTTCCTCCCCCCTGCAGCAGAGGTGATTTTGCACTCCACGGAGCACGGCGCCCAGGTACCACCTGCAGCAACAACCAGCCTGCTGGAGTCAACACAGCTCACCAGCACTCGGGGAATGGCCGCAGCTCCTGTTTCAAGGAAGGAAATCTGCATCCCCAGCCTCCAGAGCGCTTGAACTGGAGTTTGAAATAAATTCAGAGCAGGTCCAGGCCGCCAGCTTGTGTCTGTGACCAGAATCCCAGCCAGCACCATCCCCAGATGGAGAGAGCCAGGGAAATGGTGTGGAAAACAAGAAATCTGCCACTAATCAGCATGCACAGGCCACAGCCATTAGTGCTAATTGGGGCTACCAGCCCCCTCCACCTGAAAGGGAAGGAGCACAGGGTTTGCAGCCTGTCCCAGGGCTTGAAAGGGCAATGCTGCCCTGGTGAATACCCTCTGCTCCTTCATTAAGCCCTGCGGTTAATTGTGCACAGCCCGCTCCCCAGGAAAAGCTGGGAGCCCACCCAGGGGCTGGGATTTCACACCTGTGTGTGACACACGGAGCGGGAACACGGCTCGGAGGGGAAGGGAGCAAACCCCGGGGTCCCTCTGGGGTCCGTGCCGAGCCCTGCGGGGAGGTAGGGCTTAATCCACTCAAATCAGGGGATCTCAAAACCTCACCTCCCCCAGAACGATAACAAACCCTCGCAGACAAGTACTAACAGGGCTGGGCAAGCCCGGTGGAGGTAAAGGCTGGGGTGTGAGCTGGGAGAAACCCTCTCCTGGCAGAGCCCCCCAAGAGCAACCCCAAAACCTGCTGCTCCCTCCCCGGGGCTGGGGGACAGGGGACAGGCTGCCACGGGGGACAGGGGACACGCTGCCACCGCGCTCCCGGAGCTGTGGGAGGGAAGAGTTGCCTTTTTAAGGCATTGGGATTTATTTGCAGCCTCAGCAGGGCTGGCAGTGCCCGTCAGCAGCATGTTCGGTCTGTGAGTGCCATCTACAGGGTGGCACCAGCCCCTCTCCGGCCCCGGCACCCGCGGGGGAGAAGCCCCTTCCAGCAGGAAAGTTAAACCAGGGAGAGAGGGAAAGGCTCTTCCTTGGCTCCTCCAGGATGAACCTGTGGCCACTGACCTCCTGCGCGCAGGACACGGGGACACGAGGAGGTGGCAGAGCAGGACATGAGCCGGGTGGCAGAGCAGGACACAAGGAACTCAGTGTCTCCTCTCGTCAGTGCCACTAATCTCACATCTGGAAAGGGAGGAGAAGCAGATGTTAGTGCCAGGGAACGCCCTTCATTCTCCGCAGGCTTTAATTCTCCGTGCTGAGGAGCACGGGACGTCCCCACCCAGGGGAGTCTCTCCTTCCCGGCTCCCCAAAAAAAGCAAAACGTCACTTGGTTCTGCTGGGGAGAGGCCGGAATCGCCCTCGCAGGGATTTTACTTCGTCTTGTGAACAAAACCAGGGATTAATGTAAGAACGGGGAGAAAGGAAAGGGAGGAGACTTCAGAAAACTGAAATAAACCCCAAGATGAAGGGCGAAGGCGAGTGGCAGGCGATGGGAGAGGTGTGGATCCAACGGGGTGACGGTGCCAGAGCAAGGCAGGGCTCGGGGAGGGGACACTCAGCTCCACAAAACCCATCCCTGGGTCCCCCCCAGAACAACCCCGAGCGAGCTGCCAGGGAGGAGATGGACAAAACAGAATGCTTTATTTCATTTGTGTGAGGATACAATGGAGGGGGGGGATGCTGTAAACGAAAGTAAAACAATTGATCAATACAGGGACTGGATGCTATTTAAAAATAAATCACTGATCCACACCAGAGGGTGAAAGACGAGCTCCTCCGCCTCCAGGAGCACAGACAACACAAAGCTCTCCAGCGCTGGTTTATTGACTTCTTGGCAATCCATTGGGAGTGCAGGGCCTTCTCCCGACGCCCCGACACCGCCGATCCCATCCCGGCCACGCTCCAGCCACACGCACACGGGGAACACAACAGGAGCAGGCTCTGGACCACTCTCAGTCAACCCCATTAACCTCACCCCGTGGCTCAACACCAGCAGCGGAGGATCCGATAGGGCCCTTCAAGAAGATCAGAGGGGCAACCACCCACGTCAACTTTTTAAATCAGCCTTTGGCTTAAACAATAGTGATTGTTCCACACGAACCCTCCAGCAGCCACTCGTGACACACAGGGGGCTGGCGATGGGGCAGCATTTCCCTCCTCACTGCCCCACATCCCTTGGCCCCGGCAGCAGTTTGGCAAGGAATATCAAGAGAAGCCCTGCAGAGGCCACCAGCCAAGGGCAGCCAGTGGCCACAGAGCCTCCCAGTTCACTCTGGAGAGAGAAAAGTGTAGCAGAAGCTGGGGAGGCACGAGGGACAGACACACGTACTCACAGGAGGCAGCTCCCAGCACACGGGTGTGTTTGCACCTGGGTATTTATCTGTAATAGATATAAATCTCTTCTGAAAAGCTACTACAAGTTGTACCCGTGTCAGAGAGACCAGCCAGGCTATCGACACCGGTATCAGCTACACGTAAAGTAACTAAAGCTGTAACTCAGGACACTGCTGAACTGCCCTCATTATGGAAATGTGATGCAAGGCTTTAAAAGCCACTATTATTCACAAGATCCCTCCCAAAAGCCTGCCCTGCACTGACTGCCCGTGGAGGCACCGTCCCTCTGCCGTGAGCAGCTCCAGTTTATTCTTCCAGGAGAAACGCAGCTCAGCAACAAATAGATTAGTCCTTGGAGGAGTCTCAGGTCTGTAATCAGCACCTTTGTTTTCTCCTCTCAGAACAATGGGCTGAGAACAGAGCAGGAATATAAAGAATATAAAGCCTTGGCTGGTGAAGAGCCCCCTCCCCCAGAGCACGGGCTGCTCCCAGGACGCAGGATTCTCCAGGGGAAAATGGGATGAGCCACGCAGGGTCACCAATTACAGCTCAAACCTCCCTCCAGACACAAGGGGAATGGGATAAAAGCGACAACAAGGCCACACTACAGCCCCACAATCGTGTTTTTATTCCCCACATGATGAAACCCACCCCCCTTTAAGGACACCAGCAGAAAGGCTCTGAAAACATGAACATGGCATACAGACACCGGGCTGGCAAACCCTCCGGGGCCCTCAACTTAATTATCATTTGCCTCCACAGTACCAGGGCAGGGACCTCGTTACGTGCTCTGCCTGTGTCCCTCCACATCTTCCCCTGCTCAAATTCGAAATACCTATTACAGCAAAATCAAATTCTATCAAAATTATTTTCATGGCAGGGCCTGGGGCTTGAGGTCCCCTCTTTGATCAAAATCATTCAACTGTTAACATTAAAAAAAAAAAAATATATAATCACCCGCTCCTGCAAAGCGAGGAAACTTCAAAACTGCAGAACCCATCTGTCCGAGGAAGAGCAGAGCCTGGAGAGTGACCGAGTTAATTGTCTCGGACAAAGAAAGGCTGAGGAATGTGTCGGGGGAAGCGCTGGGCCAGGACTGAGCTGCAGCCAGGGTACCCCGGCCTCCAGAGCAAAGAACAGCTTTGCAGGGGGGGCTTGAAGAGGCAGAGAAAGTTATGGGGGTGTGCAGGGACCTGCTGGTGCGGGATCAGGGAAGACACGGGACCAGGAATCCCACAGCCCAGCTCCCCCCACCCCGGGGGCAGCACCGGCTGCTCCCACCGAGGACGGCGGCGAACGCTTTCATCTCCCCCTCAGCCCCACACGCAGCCAGCACCTCAAAGAGGCATGAAAAGGATATAAATGATATGAAATTAGGGCACATCCAAAGTGCTGTGGTCACATGACAGCATTACTAAAAATATATATATTTTTTTATATATATATTTAAAAATTCTTTTGCACGCGTGCAAGACAGAGCTGCCAGCACCTGGAGGGGGGGATTTCTCTGGGAAAGCTCAGCCCCTGGCACAGGTGAGCACCAGGATCACACCAGGCCCTCAGGCGGGGGGTTCAGGGCAGCAGTGAGACCCCCAGCTCCCAGGTGACCCCCAGCAAACCCCACTGTCTGATAAGGCCATCCCTTCTGCCCTGCTTTGTCCCCCTTCTCGACAGGGGATTTGCTAATCAAAAGGAGCCATCACTCCAAAGACAATCTCTATCTTCATCTAAAAGGTGGGGTCACGCAGGGAACCCCCTGACCCGCAGGGGAACTCCCTCGGGTTCTCCTACCAAAGGCACAGACCAGTCTGGGGTGGAAGTGGGGCTGAAGGACACAGCCCCGCTCAGTTTCCAAGGAAGGGCCCTCCCCTCAAAGCTAAACATACCATGAACAAGAGCACTTTGCAAGCAGTTGTCACCATTGTAGCAGCAGATCCATCTAACAATGACCTCCCAACACATTCACATTTGGTCCTATGCATAAAAAAACCCTAAATACCGACACAAGGGGCTGTAAGGAACAGCCTGAGTACCCGCCAACGGAACTCCAGAACCCTTCACAAAGAGATTATTTCTCAGCCAGGGCTCTCTGGTTCAAGAATCACAGTTCACGGGGCTTTGGGTCCTCCTCTTCCAGTCTTCAGTTGCTCAGAGACCAGTCACCATCACAGTAAAGGTTCTCCGACTCAGGCGGCAGCGCCCTGGCTCTTCCTCGGGTGACCTCGGAGGGAGCCAGCAGCTCAAAGTGCAGAATTTTGGTAGAAGTGACCCATTTCCCTGGTGAACACACCGCTGGAGCTGGTGAACGCAGCACTGGCAGCCCCACGCACAGATGGCACCACCGATGGCTTTCCTGGAGAACACGCTCCTTCGGGCCAAGAGGCACCTTTCATTTGTAAACATGTCTTTGCTGTAAACCCATGAATCGTCACCTGTACCTGCTAACCCTGCAACTGCAAGAAAACTGACACATTTAACTCATTCCCAAAGCTATTCCCTCTCTAAATTAACCCCACACCCTCCCCAGACGAGCTCCCCCAGCTCCCACCACATCAGCGTTGATTACAGAGACACCTCCCAAAGAAGCAACCCAATAATGCAGGAAGGAAAGAGGATCAGCCCGAAAATGGAACCCTCTCATCTGCTATCTGAAGCCATGGTCAGCAGGGAGAGGGATGGGAGCACTGAGGGGCCAGCAGACACAGCCACAGCACTTGAGTCCAGAGCAGAAAGATTTCAAACGCTGAGCATCCCTCCAGGAGTCACGTTTTCCTGCGCCGACAGCAGCACCCGACGCAGCACCGTTTAACCGGCAGCTCCGCCTTTCCCCAAAAACACACGTGAAGAAAACAGGTTTGGTCCCCTTTTCCCCCACCCCAGCTGTGGAATGGTTCGTACTGTTAATTAATAGTCATCATAAGCAATTATAAAAAAATAAAAACTCGAGCACTGGTAAGGTGATTCCGCTGGACTTGGTCCATCTGCGCAGCCGGCGGCACCGGTCCCACATCATCTGGAAACAAAGAAGACACCAGTATCAGAGCAAGTGTGTACACGGGGAGACAGATCACCAGGGCCTCACGCCGGCCGGGCAGTGACACGCTGAGCTGCATCCTCCTCAGCTTTGAACAACACCCTCCAGAGAAACCCAGCCTGGGCTGAGAGCAGGAACGGATGCCCCACTGGGACCGCAAGTTTTAGCCGCGGTGTGACTTGGGAGCAATTCCTAAACTGAGAAAAATGGGAGGTTTTGTTTTCCTGCCTCCCTTTGGGAGGCCAGGCTGGGCAGAAGGGCTGCCTCTGCCTCCCCATGACCCCGCTGAACACCGGGCACAAAGCCGTGCTCCTGGCAAACCGGGGTATGTCCCTCCTGTACAGAAAACTGAGATAATTTCTGAGAGTATCTCACCAGAAAGGTGAGATAAAGTCCACGTGCCAACGCGGAGAGCCCACACACAGGAGGTTAATTGATGCAGGATCATCCTGGTCTCAGGATCTGCCCCAAAGCTCCCACCTCATCAGAAAAGGCCTCTCAGCCCCTCGCCAGGGAAAGAGAAACGGCCCGACTGCCCGCTCACCGCCTCAGGTTCCTCGTTTCAAACACCGTGTCCTCGTCACTGTCGAGGGAGGCCATCTCGATGTTCTGGTCGTAGCTGGAGAGGAGGCCGTACTTCTTCCGCTGGGGCTTCTTCAACTTGGAACGAGTTTTGGGCTCATTTCTGGGTCCCTCTGACCTGGGACAGAGAGAGAGCAGGGTGAGGGCGCCGCCACAGCGCAGGTCTGCAGGGCCTTTATCGGCCAGAAGGGCAAAAATAACCAAGATAAGGGCACCAGGAAACGTTTTATCGCCGCTAATTGCCTTAGGTAATTAACAGTGGGGTGAATTTATGGCAGGATTTGACACGTGCTGCCAGAGGGATGCACAGGGAAGTGCCCGGCAGAGGGAGGGAGGGGGGATCCAGGGATAACGGGGCACAACCCCAGGGCCCGGGGGGGAACCGGGACGAGGAGGGGCACAGCCCCGGGCCGAGGGGGGGGTCCAGGGGTCACCGG